TCATTTCTTTTGGGAGAGACTTATTCTGGATGCTCCCCCCAGTCCCCTCCTCCCCTGCACTGTAAAAATGTTGGAATTGTGGGTCACAGGAAGAAGTGGGTTTTTTAGTTGAATTTTTTTTAACATTCCTCTTGAATGTAAATTTGTACTATTTAACTGACTATTCTTGGTGTAAAATCTTGTCATGTGTATAAAAATAAAAAAGATCCCAAATACTCAGTGTCTGGCCTGTACTTTCATATTACCTAGAACTATCTGATATTTTGCTGATTTTTGTTTTTCTTTTTTTAATCTTACGTCTTGGGTTTGTCCTTTCCATTACAAAAGTAACTCATGCCAATTGAAGAAAAGTTTTAAAAATTAAAGGGTGAGCTGGGCACAGTGACTAGAACCTGTAGTCCCAGCTATTCAGAGGGCTGAGGCAGGAGGATCACTTGAGCCCAACAGTTCAAGGCCATGGTTGTGTGTGTGCCATGATTGTGCAGCACTACAGCCTGGGTTGGGTTATAGTAAGATGCAACAAACCAGATGTTTGTGTTGAAAATCAAAGATTTAAAAATCTACCATACAGAAGAATTCTAAATACATATACTCTCCCTTCTAGGAGGTGGGGCTTAATCCTTCACTCCTTTTTGAGCGTGGCTAGATTCCATTCTAAAGAACAGAAAGGGAAAAATAGTAACTTTACAGTGAGAAACTTCGGCAGATGTTACCTTAACCAAGTATCAAGGTTAATATCACAAGTAATGGCACCCCGTGATAAGATAGGATGAGAAAGGAGCATCACATCCGTGGGATTCTTTCCAAAACCCCCAACCTCAACCTAATGAGAAAAATATCGGACAAATTGAGACTATGTCAACAGTACTAATGTTTCAAGATCATGAGAAGTATTCAGATTGGTGGAGAGGAAGGTATATGGAACTAAATACAGCGTGGTATTTAATTTGGATCCTGGAAACAAGGTATTAGGTGGAAAGACAAATTCAAACAAGTCTAAAGGAGAGTAATCTACCAATACTGGTTTCTATGATGTACCATGGTAATTTAAGATGACAACATTCATAGAAACAGTATAGGGCATGTAGGAACTCTACCATCTGGTTTTTCTATAAATGCCAATTCTTCTCATATAGAAAATTATTTCCCAATTCCAAAGTACTATTTCTGTGTATTGTGTAAAACTAAGAACATTTCCAGGCATGTCAGTCTTGATAAGATCAGGCTTGTCACCCCAGTCAGGAGTCATCTGTGATGTCCAGATCAGGAGCACCTGCTGTCATATCCATATGGCACTTTTATATCCATAATGGCCCACACGAAGGCTTCTTCTCTTTGCCTTGACAGGAAGGCCTGGTCCCAAGAACATCACACCATGTTGGTTGGAGAATAAATGTGTTCAGCATTCTGCCGCTCTGCTGTGCATCGTGAGGGTTGTCTGCGTAACCTCACTGTCAGGCCTTGCCTTGCCACAGCTGTAAGGTCATCCGTGTTGGCTGTGTCACTTCATCCATGCTTTTCATCTTTAGTGAAGACTTGATACTTGGGAGATTTGATTTGCTTTTTCTGCATTTCTCTTACTATAATGTTTATAATCATCTTACGGTTCCATTCATTTTGCTACTATTTTAGTTTATACACGTATCTGCCAGTTGGTGCTGATATTATGTCCTGCTGCCAGAGGAAATCTACCCCGAAGGTGAGGGGAGTAACAAGTCATGTTGGAAGCTCAGGTGGGGAGACCACCCTGGAGCCACCTACTGAGCCAGATGGGGCAGAGGTCCAATTTGTTTTTTTTCTTGTGACAGAGTCTCACTGTCATTCTAGGTAGAGTGCTGTAGTATCTTAACTCAGCATCCTCAAACTCTTGGGCAAGCCTCTTGCCTCATCCTCCCAAGTAGTTAGGACTACAGGCAGGCACCACCATACCTGGTTAGTTTTTCTATTTTTATAGAGATGAGGTCTCACTGTTGCTCAGGCTGGTCTCAAACTCATGAACTCAAGCAGTCTGCCCACCTGGGCCTCCCAGAGTGCTAGGATTACAGGTATGAGCCACCCCACCTGACCCCCAATTATTTTTTTTGAAACTGTCATTGAAAAAAATCACTCAAAAGCCTACCACATAACTAGGCGTTATGTGAAGATTCACATTTTTTTTTTTGAGATAGCGTTTCACTGTTGCCCTTGGTAGAGTGCTGTGGTGTCACAGCTCAAAGTAACCTCCAACTCTTGGACTTAAGCAATTCTCTTGCCTCAGCCTCCCAAGTAGCTTGGACTACAGGTGCCCGCCACAACACCCAGATATTTTTTTGTTATTGTTGTTGTTTAGCAGGCCCTGGTTTAACAGGTTCGAACCCAGCAGCCCTGGTGCATATGGCCAGTGCCCTAATCACTAAGCTACAGGCACCAAGCCCACATTGAGATATTTATTCTTTTGAAATGTACTCTTGTTCATGAGACAATTTTTTTTTTTTTGAGACAGAGTCTCAAGCTGTCACCCTGGATACAGTGCTGTTGCATCATAGCTCACAGCAACCTCAAACTCTTGGGTTCAAGTGATCCTCCTGCCTCCGTTTTTCTATTTTCTTTTTAGTAGAGATGGGGTCCCGCTTTTGCTCAGGCTGGCCTCCAACTCATGAGTTTAAGAAATCCACCCACCTGGTCCTCCCAGAGGGCTAGGATTACAGGTGTAATGCCCAGGCCCATAGGACAATTTCTAATCTCACTGTTGAACCATCAATGGCAAATTGTTTGTTTTTTATTTCTTTTTTTTTGAGAAAAGGCCTTCACTCTGTTGCCTGGGCCGCAGTGCAGTAGCAATTAGCTTACTGTAACCTCCAACTCCTGAGCTCAACTGATCCTCCTGTTTCAGCCTACCAAGTAGCTGAAACTACAGGCACACACTACCACACGTGGCTAATTTTTTCTTTGAGATAGGGATCTTACTCTTCTGCCCAGGCTGGTCTCACATGATTCTCTTTTTTATTAAGAAAATCTTTATGACTTGGCACCTGTGGCTCAAGTGGCTAAGGTGCCAGCCACATACACCTAAAATGGTGGGTTCGAATCCAGCCCAGGCCACCAAACAACGACGGCTGCAACCAAAAAATAACCAGGCGTTGTGGCGGGTGTCTGTGGTCCCAGCTACTTGGGAGGCTGAGGCAGGAGACTCGCTTGAGCCCAGGAGTGGAGGTTGCTGTGAGCTGTGATGCCATGGCACTCTACCCAGGGCAACAGCTTGAGGTTCTGTCTCAAAATAAAAAAAAAAAATCTTTACTAAGGAATTATCTTGCGCTGCTTTTAATTTTTGATGTATATATGCCACAGATTTGGTTCACTAAGAAACAGATGGAGTTTAGGATACAGGAGATTTATTAAGGAGCACTCTTAAAACACCCATGCGAAATGGAATTGAGCAAGAGGGGAAAGTTGAAGTGCAAGGCTGCCTCAGACAGTGTCAGTAAACCCCATTGCAAGTTGTGAAACTAAAGAGCCCATAAGAGTGGCCCGCCCCTCATCATACTGTAATGGCCAAGCAGATCAGTCACTGGATATGGGCCCTTTCAGGAGGTGGGCTTTGAGCAAGGGAACTATGGCTGAGACAATCCTTGCAGAAGCTGACAACTGAAAGCTGCTTGCTAACAGCCCTCCCAGTGCTAGGGTGACAAACCATCCAGGGAATCTGGATGGCACATTTCCACAATGTGTATTTTTCACAATGAGGTCAACTTCAAAAAAGGAAGAAAGGCTGGGCGCTTACAGCACAGTAGTTATGGCACCAGCCACATACACCAAGGCTAGCAGGTTCAAACCTGGCCTGGGCCAGGTAAACAACAATGACAACTACAACAAAAAGTAGCCAGGCATTGTGGCAGATGCCTGTAGTCCCGGCTAATTGGGAGGCTGAGGCAAGAGAATCACTTAAGCCCAAGAGTTTGAGGTTGCTGTGAGCTATGATGCCATAGCACTCCACCAAGGGGGACAAAGTAAAACTATCTCAAAAAAAAAAAAGAAGAAAATATGTATCTTGGTGGAAGTCACTTAGAATAAACACTTACTGAAATAGAGATGGTATTTTTACTTTAGGTAAATATTTTAATAGCTAAAATTAATTTTTCCCTCCATGAAGTCATTGTCTTACAGGAGATGGGTTCAAATCATGATTCTGTCAGTAGACAGACCATTTAATCTGTACCTGTAAAAGGAAGGTACAGAGGAGCTTCTGAAGTGTGGCCCCTGCACACAAACTGACCCTTAGAGTCAGGTCCTTTCTTTGTATAAAGGTGAGCAGTACCCCAGCCCTTCATTCTAGAAAGTGATGGGGACTCCTTGTTGGCGTCCACAAAAGGTATTAACAAAGCTCTCCAATTTGCTGTTCATACACTAAAATCAGCAGAGAACTAGAATTGGAAAATAACAGTTTAACAATAAGGAATAAAAACTCTATTTAGCACATCAAATTGATTAAACTAGTTAATAGGTTTAAAATGATTTTATTGTTGATTTACATCATATCAAGAAAACCCATAGGGTAAATACTGTGTCTCGTAAGATATTTAAGACTAAGTATCTTCCAAATCACATTCAAGAAATAGATGACAAACACTTTGGCAGTTTTCAAGAAATACTGGTCAAAACATAATTAAATTTCAATGTACTGATAACCTCCTCTTTTTTGGTGGGAGATAGTCTCACTTTGTTGCCCTTGGTATAGTGCCATGAAGTCATAGCTCACAACAACCTCAAACTTTTGGGCTCAAACCATTCTTTTGCCTCAGACTCCCAAGGAACTGGGACTATACGCACTTGCCACAACACCCAGCTATTTTTAGAGATGAAGTCTCACTCTGGCTCAGGCTGGTCTCGAACCTGTGAACTCAGGTAATCCACCCGCCTTGGCCTCCCACAATGCTAGGATTACAGGCGTGAGCCACTGCACCAGGCCCTCAGCACCTCCTCTTAGACTCAGCATTGGACGAGATGCTTAAGAACACACAGTCTGACTCAATAATTTTTTTAAATACATATTTAAAATAATATTATTCACATAGTTGGCATAGTTATATTTCATTTCTACTGCTGAGAAACCTGAGGTTCGTGTTGTCTCTCTTTCAGGCCCAAAAGCTCTGTTTTGAGTTCTCCAGGCTTCGGTGGAATTTCAGGTATCGTCTACAAAGAACAAAAACATAGATATCAATGCTTTCTTAGATTGTAATTCAGTGTGATCTGAAAGACAAAGAGTTTTTTAAAAGTCCCTGCCTGCTACTCAGTGATAAATATTGTGGGAATCTGTGGTTGATCTAAGATGCTTTCTAACCTTATATTTATAGGATTTATAGGATTTATAGGATTCTGGTAATGTCTTATGTTACAGGTTTCACAACTTTGAATAAAACTTTCCACATCTGGAAATTCATTCCTGAGCTCACGTACACTCTCTCTACCATATGGCTGTTATAGAAAATAGGTATTAGGGCTCGGCGCCTATAGCTCAACCGGCTAAGGCGCCAGCCACGTACACCTAAGGTGGCGGGTTCGAGTCCCCAGCCCG